CCCTCAGCCCACCATCAATACGGTGCGAGCTCCACGGGTCTGCCATCCTCCAGCGTTGCCATAGCTGATCTGGACTCCGCTCCTCCAGCTGCACCTCGTCGTTCCGTCCCACCGGCTCCGTTGGTCTCCTTCCTCCCGCCAGCTCCACGTTGGTCCTCAGTCACTCCGGCTCCGCTGCGGATCTCTGGATCTCCGCCTCGGTCGCCAGAGCCCTCGGCTCCACCCTGGCCCCACGGATCCTCGGCATCCCCCTGGCTCGTTGGTTCTCCGTCTCCGCCTCGGGCTTCTCCGCCACCTGCTCCACCGCCGTTGGTTGGCCCCCTGGAGTTGGCAGCCTCCATCGTCTCCACCGTGGGTCGTCATCATGGCTGTGGCCTGGGTCCTGCTGTGCTCCTCCGGCTCCGGGTCCCTCCTGTGTCCTCCCTGGCTCCTCCCTCCTTCGTCGCCTCCCTGGTCTCTGTCTGCTGGCCCCCTCCTGGGTGTCCCGCCTCCTCCTGAGCCTCCTCTCAAGTTCCCACCTATGCCTCCCTCTGTTGTTGCCTATGGTACGAGGACGAAGAAGCCCAATCTGTCAGATTGAGTCTTCACTGACAGACAGACAGCAGCTCTACTGACACACCAGGAAATTACACTACTTTAACAAAGAAAGAAGAAAGATGAAGCTTTTCAGAGAGGGTCAATGTGGGTCAATAGTTTATACTTAAATACACACACACACACAAAGTGAGAAAGATACACCGTTTTTTTACAATCGCTATATTTTTTCAATACAATTTTCCTAAACTCTTAACACAGTTAGCACAACATTATATACAATTATATACAAATCTGTTATACAATTTACACATTTCTTGTTCCTTTGACCCAAAATGCATTAAGTTGACACAAATTTAAAATGCTTGAACTTCTCTTACACACAAATTCAACCAAGACCAAAACAATGGATTTTTACTGCCAAATTTATAAATGCTTTCAAACTGTACGTCAGAACAGATAACATCATGTTCTAAACCTAATTTATAGGTTAAAGTCAAAGTGTCAAAGTGATAATATTGTGAACTGAAACACAAATATATCCCCTGTATTTTATTCCATTGCTAATGAGAAACAGCTGATTAGCTGATTGCAAATATATAAATTATAGCTAGGAAACACACTCAGGTGTTGAGCTTATTTTAATCTCATGAAAATAGGGTGTACAGTACAAGACGACCGCTTTGGGCTGATCTTGTGTGTAAAAGTGAGATTGACCCCTGCAACACCAACCGCCTTCTCCTGTTTTTAGAAGGTCACCCAGGGACAATGTGGCATTCCACCATTTCCATGCAGTCAGAGCGAAGAAGATGTCCCTTTTCCTTGCCCCTTACTCCCCTTTCCTCAACCCCGTTGAGGAGTTTTTCTCAGCCTGGAGAAGGAAGGTTTTTGACCATCGTCCACAGGACCAAATGTCCTTCCTGAATGCAATGGATGCTGCATGCCAAGACATCACAGTTGAACACTGTAGGGGTGGATAAGGCATGCCAAAAGATTCTTCCCAAGATGCCTTGCCAGAGAAGATATCAAGTGTGATGTGGAAGAGAACATGTGAACATGTGTTTTTTTTTTAGGCCTTTTCTGTTTGTATATTTTACATTTTCACATAATACTGTATTGCATATTTTTGTTATCTTGCAGTAATGTCCTGTTGCAAATAAAGCGTTTACTGCAGCAATTCTGTCTCTGTCTTCGTTTTTTCATTAACCGTACATTCTGTAAAGCTACTCTGAGATGGGTCATTCGTTTTTTGTATTGAATTTCTGCAGCAAAAGGGAAAAAAATGCATGCATAAACCCAACAAAGCAAAAATGTAAAGAGGCTTCCTGTTCCTTGGTTCGGTTCGTTTTCCCCTTTCATTGTTGTTTCTTTTAATTGATTGTATTTGCTTTTATGTTTTTTTTCATTGTAAATAAATGCTCTTTTCTCTTTATTGGAACTCCTTTGTCCCTTATAGTTGCTTTTTGTACCAGCAAACCAGAATGTCTACTGGAGTTAACAAGACCTGTGGTTTATTTATTTTATGTTAATGCGTCTCCCATACCCCTGGCTATCTTGGAGACGTAACACATAATTTTATGTAAATAATTACCTACCCAGGTAGCCAGCGCAATCGGGCCAATTGTGGCTGAGTCTCGGCTCACTCGGCTGTGTTCTGGCAGTGGCTCACCAAAAGTAAGCCAGCTCTGGCCCAGTAATGGTTGCCAGATTTGGCTAGGCTTTGGATATGCAGATTTGGCCCGATTTGCACTGACACATGGCACATTTAGCCACATTCGGCCCTGATTTTGGCTGAGATATGGGCATGCAGACCCGGAGCAGTTTAGGTTGAGAGCTGGGGGTAGGTCTCTGTTTAAAATGTGGTAAATAGTATGTAGCAGTGACACTTAAACTTAAACATATCTTTTACCTGCCCTTGTTATTTCTTAATATATTTTTTATTTTAATTCCTATTAATATTTTTTTCCTTGTATCCAACATTCTCTTTTTTTCTTTAACTACATTTTGAATTTAATGATTTAATTCATATAATGAAACAAGCTTAAAGTGGTTAAGGGAACTTTAACATTATATTTGCTATATGAGTTTCAAGTGATGCGTACTAGCTTTGACATCTAATGACAAAACCTGATATGCTTTTTGTGCTGCTAATTGCCAGAAGACCAGAAGAACTTGCTACCCTGCTGAGTAAACATTTGATAATCTAACATATAATTTTAATAAACCGTTCTATACATATAATATCAAAATGTTTATTTATAATGAAGCTATAAATGTAGCGCTGACATAGTGCTAGAGTTGAGCTCCAACCATAATCAAGCACACCTGATCCAGCTAATCAAGGTATTCAGAATCACTAGAAACTTCCAAGCAGGTGTGAGTTGGAGCTAAACTCTGCAGAGCTGTGGCTAAGTGTTTCAATTCTTGTCGGCGTGATTGTGGCCCAATGCTGGCAGTTTTGGCAGCCGGACTCGGGCCAGTGTATTTGGGCCGATTCTGGGGCCTCATTCATCCCATGTCCATGCCGAGTCTGGCAACCGCAGCCGGGCCGAGTTATTTCTTCTGGCCTGCCGGATCTGGGCCATTTTCAGGCCAAACCGTTTTGGCTACCTGGCTATACATAAACTGGAGAATACAAACTATACAAATGTTCACCTAAATACTTTACATGTGCAAAGGGAAAGTCGAGCAGCTGGCTGAGGAACAGTGCAAGATGATCTGTAGTGCATGAGCATGTAAACATACATATGTTATTGAGACTTTTGTGGGATTATGTACACAACAGTGTGTGTAAAAAGTGTCTAGTGTACAAAGAGGAGAGTGTGTTACTAAAGGTGGTTTGAACTATTTGAAAATCTGGAATCTGAGGGTGAAAAAAATCTAAATATTGAGAATATCATCTTTAAAGTTGTCCAAATGAAGTTCTTAGCGATGCATATTACTAATCAAAAATTAAGTTTTGATATATTTATGGTAGGAAATGTACAAAATATATTAATGGAACATGATCTTTACTTAATATCCTAATGATTTTTGGCATTAAATAAATTGATAATTTTGACCCATATAATGTATTTTTGGCTATTGCTACAAATATACCCCAACGACTTAAGACTGCGTTCGTTTATATAGTTAGAACTGTACATTAATTCAAAAAATAAATAAAATGAAAACGTGATTTACAATGTTAATAACTGGAAACGCGTCATCAGTCTGTAAAAAGGATGCTTTTTGCTTTGTTGTTCACTAGGAGGCGACAGAGTGGAGGAAAAGGCAGCACAA